AGATTCTTAATTCAAATGTTTATTTGATCTCTATGTGGTGCAATACAGATTCTTGGTGCCCAAGTTGTTGTAGAAGGGGTGGAGAAGCATAATCCTCTTAGTGATGGTTCTATTCTTTGGATAACAGAAAGCAGATCCCCACTGGGTATAGTGGACGAGATTTTTGGGCCTGTCAAGAACCCCTACTACATTGTAAGATACAATAGTGAGAGCGAAGTCCCCGCTGAAATCAACCAAGGCACTTTGATCTCTCTTGTCCCAGAATTTGCTAATCATGTCCTTATCGATGGAAGTCTTTACAAGAAAGGGTATGATGCATCTGGTGAAAATGATGAAGAGGTGCCCACGGATGAAGAATTTTCAGATGATGAGAAGGAGGTTGAGTACAAGAGAATACTGAAAATGAAAAAGAGGGGCACAAATGACGAGAAAGTTGGAAACAAGAAGAAGGACAAAAAGAAATTCAGAAATCGATCTCAGAACTCGAAATGTGAGCAAGCTATGAAGCCACCAGTCGAGCAAAGTCAAAATCTTGTCCCACCTGTTACTGGTTCTTCCCAAGGACAGAGGTCAGGCAATAGGACTGACTTAGTTCCTTCATTTCATCATCCGCAACAGGCCCCTGCTTTTGCAGCTCCTTCAAGTGGAGTTTGGACTAATATAATCCCAAATCAGCAGCCCGGGAATATGGGCTTACCTAATACTTTGCCAACAATTGGCATGCCATGGCAACAACAATGTCATCCTCAGCAAATGTTTCAAATGCCTTTGCCTAGTGGAGTACCTTTACAACAGCAATTCAATCCAGGACCTCCTCATAACTTTATCTTGCCGTTTTTACAGCCAGATTTTGGCACAGGGCAAGCGTTTGCACCTTGGCCGGCATTCGGACAAAATGGTTTCAATCAACCACCATTTGCTTTGGGGGGCTTACCAGGCCAACTGGCACATTTACCTTTCAACTTGGGAGGTCAGATACCAGTTAACGTACCACAAGCGGTAGCCAACAACAATTCACATCCACCCGCTGCAGTTCCTGCTATTAACGGTTCTCTAAACTTCAATCAAGGCAATCATTTTGGTGGTGGCTGGAATGCAAATTTTCAGGCTGGTGGTAGTTTTGGACCACAAACAGGAGACAACAGCAATTCACAACAACCTGCTGCAGTTCCTGCTATTAACGGTTCTCTGAACTTCAATCAAAGCAATCATTTTGTTGGTGGCTGGAATGCGAATTTTCAGGGTAGTGGTGGTTTTGGACCACAAACAGGAGACAGCAGCAATTCACAACAACCTGCTGCAGTTCCTGTGAATGGACCAGAAACAGGAGACAACAATTCACATCCACCTGCTATTGTTCCAGGCAATACTAATGGTTGTCTGAACTTCAATCAAGGCAATCATTTTGGTGGTGGCCGGAGAGGAAATGGTCGGGGTGGTGGTGGCCGGTTTGGCCGTGGGAGAGGGAGAGGGAGGGCGCAACGTTATTGAAGGTGAAAACAAAGTGCTTCCCGTGGAGAAAATTACTTTTAACTTTGGTTCTACATATAGCAGCTAATTTCCAGATTTTTTTCCCCATTCCCTCGTAGGTCTGGGTGTGTATAGTGCTAGTTACTGTTTTAGTTTGCATTATAGGTTTTTTATTTTTTTCCCAAAGTTCCAAATGTCTGCTTATACGACCCTTTCTTTAGGTAATTTGTTCTTCCTGTTTTGCTCTTAGGACTAAGGGATTGGTTTAATCATCAAAATGCTAGATTTAGAATCAACTTATTGGTCTTATGGTATATCTCTGTATCGTGGATGAGAAAGATGTGTATTTGTTTATAACTCTCCTGGGGGTTGGGTAATACCTGGGGTGGCTATTTGTGATACTATGCAATTTTATGCATGGGATTAGATGCTTTAATGGGATCTTTTATCCTGGTCAGAGGAGAAATTACCAAACGTCTAGCATTACCTCACGCTTGGTGCCAATGAGGTTTTTATTTGAGAGAAACGTCTAGCATTCCTTCTCGAATTTGCTAATGTTATTATCTTTAATATTCATATATTTTTCAGAAAATATCTTTTGCTCATCAAAACATGAAAAAGGATTTTCCATGAACAATGTTTTCCGTCATACCAAATACACATTGTGTCTCACAGCAGCTAATTATGTTGTAAAGTATGGAGAATTAAAGGACCAGTCTGAAGTCTGAACCATAAAAACGAAAAACTAGATAGGAAAAGATAAAGCCTTTGACTGTAATTGTAAATTTGGTTAAATCCCTGAAAGAGAATGTCAGCAAAAACATGGTGTAAACATGTAAAGGGGGTTAAAATGAATTAATGATGGGGAAAAACATGGCCATCTAAATTGAAAGAAATATTCAGGTGTGACAAAAGAAGTAATTAAGGGTGATTCCTTGTGAAATCAATGCAAGTCTGGCAACTGCAGTCTGAGAAACGGCATATTTCACATCCAAAACACACACACGAAGTGCAACCTCTACACGTTGGAGAACGCGAACATCCTCTGTACACCCTACGGCTTGCTCGTTCGTCATCATCATCACATGAAACTCTAAAACACAAGAAGACAGCAAGCAAATATGTCCAGAATGAATACAAGTTACAAAAACATAAAATATTGATCATGGACATGGTATTGTTAAAGGGATGATAAATATAGTACACATCATAAAGGAAAACCAGGAAGGTAGAGTCTGTCTTCGCTAAATATAGCCACGTTATAGAAACTTTACTGTTAATTGGACAGCGTACAGATTTTGGTAATTGGCCTGGGATAGAATTACCCTTCCCAAAACTGCTAACTCCAAAAGAAAAGGGGAAAATGATAGAAGAAGCGGGAAAGGCTCCAATTCTCAAATCAAACTGCACATTACTAACTTGGAAAATTGAATGATGCATCAAGTAAAACTAAGTGGTAAATATAATCTCTTCCTGGAGAAAACAGAAACTTATTTGGTGGTTCAACAACTACACAGTATCACCAAAAATGGCATGTTAAGTATTAGAGAAAACATTCTGCCCACTCAGTCCAAAACAAAGTCAGCAACAAAAGCAAGAAATCAGACTAAAAAGAATGATAACCAAGCAGATTGGACATATCAACGAGATGTTCCTCGCCTATTCAGCAGCGTGGATAGGATTCATTAGTATAAACGAACAAAAACAGATAGCATGGCACCTCCGGCAGAGTAGGTCCAATTGAATGATAGAATTACAACCATGTTCATAATATTGCATTTCGAATTTCCAAGTCACATAGGAAACAGTATTATTTCCTTGTCTATACCATGTCCATTAACTTGAAACTTTTGATAGAATGGAGCTCAATCTAAACTTCCTGAACCGTGAATATCACAGATATCATGAGCACATAATCACAACAATGGTAATAATTTGATAAATTCTAGACATCACTTCCGGAATAACTTATTATCTGTTCTACTCAAGTAAAAACATAGTCTGGTCAACCTTAACTTCTGATAGTGTATGCCATCAACACATCTTCTCTTGGAGATAGGGGGAAGGACTTCCTTTCCATCAAAGTTTGGGGGGGGGGGTTACAACATTTTCACATGAACTTTAGGAATATGAGCAATTTTCCAGTAATCCCC